ACAGTTCAAACTGGGGACACATCTGATTTCACAAAGTGAAGTGAAACACTCCAAAATAGTGGAGTAACAGAGGCATATTTCTGAGGTAAAATAAAAAACAAAAGTACAACACTCTCCTTGGAAGTTGTTGGATCAAGAAAGCCCGAGATGGGACAACTGGAAGCAGGGGCTTTACAATGATTAGTCGGAAACACTAATGGGGGCTATTTGGATAGGCTTATTTAAATGAGAGGGAGCTCTGGTAGCATAGTGGCTAAGGCACTTGACTGCTAACCAGAAGGCTGGCGGTTCAAACCCAACAGCCACTCCCCGGAAGGAAGATTGGGCAATCCTACTTCCGTAGTGATACTGCCTCGGAAACCCAAGGAGGGGTCGCTATGAGTCAGGGCTGACTTGACGGCACATAACAACAACAACAACAACATTTAAATGAGAGACTAAGGGGGTGGACGGTTTAACAGGGTGGTCATAACATAATTATCCTTAAAACATTTCCTGAGAGCTGTTGAGGGAATTTCTGACAAGGGTCTTGTGTCAAGAACCGCCCCCACAACATTCTTTCCATATATTTAGTTTAATCACTTAAGCTTGACCAAAGATCCTCTGTTATATACTTAAGCCTATCTAAGGGTTTCATGGTTGGAAAGGAAATAAGCAATAGTTCTGGTGGCCTAGTGGCTAAGGCACTTGACTGCTAACCAGAAGGCTGGCAGTTGAAACCCACCAGCCACTCCTCAGAAGGAAGATAGGGCAATCTACTTCCTTAGAGATACCAGCTAAGAAATCCAAGGAGGGGTCACTATGAGTCGGATCGGAGTTGGGCAGTGAGTTTGGTTTAGAGCTTTGGAAGATGGTGGGGGTTCAGACATTGTGATACAAGTCAAATTGCTCAATTTTGGAACTCTCACACACACTTTCGTATTAATAAGAAAAATGTACCTCTTCTTCCAGGTGTCCCTGGACCCTGGAAATTGGCTTCAAGAACAGAATGAGAGGTGTATTTCAGTTGGCACCTGCCACATTGGCCAGGTGGCTTTGTGCAAAGCTCAACCTGCACAGGCCCTGCTGGATCCCTCAGCAAGGTGTAAGCAATAAGCGTGTGGTGAAATTATTACAACACTAGGAAGGTAGAAGTATAAAAAAAAAATAATTAATTTAGATCTGTGACAGTAATACTTTTACAAGCAATTTGAGTATCAGTATAAATTTTGTCATTCTTATGAAAATCTGTGCATACTTGGTTAATATAAGCCTTGTAATTTTAATTAAACTTTCCAGAATCAGTTCATAAAATAAGGTTTGTGACAATACCTAAATGTTGAGGGAAATTTTGTCAAATGTAAACACTGATTTTCTATTTGTGTTCAATGTTTAGAGGAGTATTACTTCATCGATTTGAAAGATTAATGATTTGAGCACTAAATAAAGCGTAAATTGTGATGAGTATTCCTCTTTCCATACAGTTATCTAGTGTAGTGCTGCTATAATGGAAATACCGCAAACGCATGGCTTTAACAAACAAAATACTTTTTTCTTACAGTTTAAGAGGCTAGAAGTCTGAATACAGGGCGCCCGCTTTAGGGGAAGGCCTTCTCTCTTGACTCTGAGGAAGGGTACTTTTTCAAGCGTCTGTTCCTTGGCAATCTTCATGGGGTGTGGTATATGTCTTCCTCCATCTCTGCTCTCTTCTCTATGCCTACTCTGCTTATTAGGAGCTCTGGTAGCATAGTGTCTAAGGCACTTGACTGCTAACCAGAAGGCTGGCGGTTCAAAACCACCAGCCACTCCTCGGAAGGAAGGTTGGGCAATCTACTTCCCCAGTGATACTGCCTCGGAAACCCAAGGAGGGGTCACTATGAATCTGAGTCGGTCCGTAACAACAACAACAACAATCTGCTTGTTAAATCTCAAAAGCGATTGGCTTAAAACACACCCTACACTGATATGGTCTCGTTAACATAATAAAGAAAACTCTATTCCCAAATGGGATTGCATCCACCAGTAGAGGTTAAGATTTACACCTATTTTGGGAGGACACAATTCAATCCACAACAGTCCCTTAGGCACTAAAGAGCCAAGCAACAATTGGTAGAGCCAATGGAAATGGAGTCACAGTGAGGAGGAAAAAAAAAATTACTCAGAGGGTCAGACCAAACCAAAGCAAATCAAACTCACTGTCATCAAGTGGAATCCGACTCATAGTGACCCCCACTGCTTTTCCGAGGCTGTAAATCTTTACAGAAGTAGGTTACCCCATCTTCCTTCCACAGAGCGGCTGGTGGGTTTGAACAGTTGACCTTCTGGTTAGCAGCAAAATGCCTAATCCACTATACCACCAGAAATCCTTCAAAGGGTTAGAAAGGGTAGAAAGAAAGATGATATTCTAGTTACAGAGAGGGAGAGGAAAGAGAACATAAATCTTTCACAAAGGTAGAAGAAAGGAAAGAGAAATCCAGAGGGTTCTGAAGCCTACATTAATAGTAGGTAAACTACTTTTTTTCCACACATAAGCTCTTTCCCTGCTCTTTAAAAGCTGGTTTACTATTCAATTCTTTGTTAAAAACCTCCTTTAAAGAAATTGTTGCTTTAACAAAAAGAATATCAAGACCTGAGCTAGAACAAAAAGTCTTCAGAAGCCTGTGAGTCCTTCTAGGATTAACTTTACTCTAAGAATGTCTTACTATCTCCTGGCCCTTTGGGCCTAAGCAAGAACATCTGACCTTTTCCATACCACAGCAGAGGCCAGGATTGAACACTAAAATTAGACTGCTAAAGACTAATGCTCTGGTAGTACAGTGCCTAAGACATCTGACTGCTAAACAGGTTGGTGGTTCAAGCCCACCAGCCACTTTGTGGAAGCAAGACTGAGTGATGGCAGTGGGTTTGGTTTTGGTTTACTAAAGACTAAGGGTCTATAGGGACTATACACAAGGAGTAAAATGAAATCCAATAATCTGGTTTATAAAACCAGATTGCTCTCTTTTGGTGGTCCATTCTATCTCCAAATCTGTTTCTTAGTGGTGGGCACCATCCCTGCACACATCAGCCGGGTGGCCACAGCTGAGAAGCTACTTTTCTTAATGTATATATACTCCATACTAATATGAGGCCTACCTTCAGGCCTCAAAAGGATAAACCACATATCACACATAACTCCAACATTCACCCAAGAGATACAGACAAGCACAGGTGTCCTTGATCAAGGGCCTCACTGAACTGGCTACCAATGATCAGTTCCCAATCTACCGCCTCAGAAGCCCAAGGAGGGGTTGCTGTGAGTCAGATCCCACTTAAGGGCAGTGGGTTTGGTTTGGTTTTTAGAGAAAAATTATTCTCCAGACCCTGAAAACAAACATGAGGCCTAGGGATGTAATGCAAAGAGCACAGTGATTGAGTTCCGGACTCCTTATGTGCCATCTGGTCAAGTTACTTTAGCTTCAGAAGTTTTATTTACCAATATAAAATAGAACCTGTCTCTCCTTACCTCAAAAAGTCCACTTAAGAATAAAATAACAGATAGGAAAGTGCTTTGGAAAATTAGATACTGTTACAAAAACAAAAGATTTCCTCCACTCCAGAGGTTCTACAGTCTCTGCCAGCTCTTTACTAACTCTAGCCAGGCCACCAAACCCAACTTTAATTCACAACCTGAGGGTTTGAATGAAAGGCTAGGATCTTTTGCAGCTCTTTAAGTATGTGATTGCCATTCATTCAACGAACATGATTCTATGTATGAGGTGTTGGAGACACAGAAATGAGTAAATACAGCAAGCACTCATGATGCAATGTACTATTAAATTGTTATATAATGCTGTTGGGAAGCATTATTCTGGAGATTCTTCCCTCCTCTCCGCGTTTCCTCTGTCCAACTTTGCCATAATCATAAAATATTTACCAAGCACTAACTGCTTACCACTACAAAGCTGGAAAATACTGGTTAGAGGTTGTGAGAAAAGAGAAGTGTAGAATTATTGTGGTCTGTTAAAAACCTACAATGTGTGACAGGCAGTGTAAGTGATGTAAAAATTCTGGTTTTGCTAGGCCCGGATTGGAGTTCAAATGCTGCAAAGTTACTGTATGATCTTTGACAAGTTGTTTAAACTTCTGTAAAATCAGGCTACTTTTCTCATTGAGGTTCAAACGAAGGTAATTAACGTAAAGAACAGTGCCTGAGTAAGTGCTTTTTGTATGTGAGCACAGCGCAAGGAGATCGTTGAGACTAAAACGTCTAATGCATAGTTAAAAAAAGTTATGTTGCAGAGCTGTATTACTTTTTCTCCCTTTAAGCCTCAGTAGCAGGCTCAGGGTCGCGATCTCAAAGTCTCGTAGTCCTTCAAATACGAAGACAACAAAAAACCCAATGCCTGTTTACGAACTTATGGGAAACTCTTAATATACTTTCAATCCAATTTCAATCAGGAAGTAACTCCCATAATCTATTCTCTGATTACCAGGGCTAATGAGTAGCATTGCCGACCCGTGTAAATGGAAAAAAAAGTGAGCCAAATTTCACCAAATTAATTTAAATGTAAACTCATTTCCTCGCTATTTCCAGGGAAGAAATTCTTATAGTGTACTTCGAGATCTTTTTAAAAATGATAATGCTATTACGTTCGGTTTTAAATGAAAAGGATACTTCCCCAAGGTCAGTGGTCAGGAGGCAACGACGCTCCAGATTCCTTCAAGTCTCCTCCTATCCCTCCCCCATGACCAAATTCAGCCTACTTCGGTCAACTACCTAGCACAGCTAGGTGCGGGGGCGAGAGGGGACGGTGGGGGGTGGGGGTTTGAAACCGAACTTCATTGTTCCCGGGACCGACTCTTCCTGAAAGAGCCCGTTGGCAGCGCCTGCGCAGTGCGCTCTCTTTGTGCCTGGTTGCAGCAAGCTGGTTGTTTTGTGTGTGTCTCTCCGAAGCGGTGGAGGCGGAGCCGTTGGGGCGTGGCCTATCTTATCGCATTCTGATTGGGCTTGCACAGGGAGGTGGGGGGCGCAGGGCGGAGCCTCCAATAACAACACTCGGAGCAAGAGCTCGGGATATTTGTTGCTGCGCCGCCACCGCCCGAGTCATGGTGTGGTGTCTTCTCGGGCTCTCTTAGCAGCAGCAGCCGCCGTCGCCGCCACCGCCACCTTGTGATCACTGGCTTCACTTTCTCCTCTTCTTCCTGCTGAGCCACTTGCCTCCCTGAACTATGACCGTCGTCTCCGTCCCGCAGCGAGAGCCGCTTATCTTGGGCGGCCGCCTTGCACCGCTGGGCTTTTCCACTCGCGGTTACTTTGGGGCCCTGCCGCTGGTGACCACGGCCCCGCCGCCTTTACCCCGGATCCCAGACCCCCGGGCACTGCCTCCAACCCTCTTTCTCCCTCATTTTCTCGGGGGGGATGGTCCCTGTCTGACTCCTCAGCCTCGCGCTACAGCTGCTCTGACCAACTGCAGCCTTGCCACGGCGGGGGGCACTCCTCGGGCAGCACCAAAGAAGCGGCGAAAGAAGAAGGTGCGGGCCAGCCCAGCGGGGCAGCTTCCTAGCCGCTTCCACCAGTACCAGCAGCACCGGCCGAGTCTGGATGGCGGGCGGAGCCCTGCGACCGGCCCCAGCGGAGCGCACGAGGTCCCGGGTCCAGCCGCCGTCTCGGCCCCGGCTCCTGCGGCTGCAACCCGAACTGAGGAAATGAGTCCTATCCTTGGCCCGCTGCCGCCCGCGGCTCCCGGCCAACCGTCACTCAGGAAAGAGGTGAGGGCCGCGGCGCGGATATGGGGGCCCTTAGACGGTCACAACCGAATCTGGGGTTCGGGGCCCTGCGCTGAGGCGCTGAAGGGTGGGGGCGGGGTGAGGGGCGGCTGTTTACTCGAGAGGGAAGTTTCCGTGACGCCCGCTTGGTTCTTGCTAGGGGGTAGGAGGAGGGGGCGGCATGCGCTGGGGCTACTGATTGGCTCCCGAGAACCAGCCAATGAGAGGAGTGGTTGCGCCCCAGCAACAGCCCGGATTTAGCAGGCTGGCGGCGTTCCAGGGGGTTTCGGCGTTCGGGGCTCGGGGCGGGGGGTGGTGGTGGGGAGTGCAGGAGCCCGCAGGGGAGGGGGCGCTGACGTCAGCGCGCGCTACGTGCGGAGCTCTCCGGCTCTCATGAAGGAGGAGAGTCTTGGGCGGGAGTGGTAGGGAAGAGGCGGGGGCCCGCTTTCGGTTTCCCAGCCGTTGATCTCTCCAAGATTTGGCGGTGAAGCGCGTAGAGTAGACCTTCGCGCTACATTGGCATTTTGAGTGGGCTGCAAGTAGTTCTGTTCGGTTTGCCTTTTGTTTTGCTCAGATGAGAGGGCCGTGTAGAGCGCCCAGCCCCAGTGGGACTCGGCTCCTCGCGGGACGTACGTACTTTGCTGTCTTCCCTAAGTTTAAAAGTTCGTACGAGGGGCAGGAGAGTTAGCTAATTATCTTGTCTGCTTGAAGCGATGACTGTTGATTTCTAGCGCGTTAGTCTTTGAGATAGTTTGTTTAACCGTTCCCACTATACACTTCACCAGACTTTAACAGAAGGTAGTTCTGTTGTCTAGAATAATGAAATTTTCGAAAGAAAAGTTTTTACCAATTGCGTTGACGTCATGCCGCCCAATTGTCATGTTACTCGGCTAGGATAACATGGGTTGAAATTTAAACGAGATTGTATCTAAAATATTTGGATCTAAAACAAGTTTTGTCAAATTGAAACATTTTACTTACCTTAGGTTTCACAGGCGTAAGTAACTCTTAAATGGTGGTTTCTGTCGTTTGTTGTGGAAAGAATAAGTATGACCGCAGTGTTTGCTTAGTTTAGATTTCTTTCAGTTCTTAAAATCCCATGATTCTCGAATAGTAATAGTTAAAAGCGAGCTTTTCTGTTGGTTTTCTAACCAGTAAGAGTTTTGTCTTTTCTAGAAGGTGTACTAAATTCAGCGTGTTGTTGGCAGTTGTCCTTATTGATATGGAATGTGTTGCCCTGTACTATTATGTCCTGCTTCCTTACCATAGTATAAATGTTGGAAAGGCAGTGATTTGATGGATTACCTTACTTTGTCATCCGATGATGGCTTCTCACGAGGACCACTTCAATTAGGAGAGAGAGAGAATTGGCAAACAAAGTTAATGAAGTATTAGTTTTACCAGAAAGTAGGGGACAGGCAGAACACTTTTTCTGGATGTGTATTTGTGTAAGTGTGTACAACTGAAAGAGGTGATAAAAAATGGTAAGTTAGTATTTACATTTCTTAACTATTTTTGTTACCAGATGCTGGAACCCAATTTTTTTGTGCACACCTGGTAACCATGATTAAAGTTCTTGCTTGCTTAAAATCGGGTAATCATATTTTTATTTGCTCTGAAATAATCTAAATACTTTTCCTATAAAGCTAACAAGTATTTTTATTAACACACTTTTTTATATTTCACCAGACTCTCAACCAAAATGAAAGCTTTTGAAAATTTCCATTGGCACCATTCTATTTTAAAAACACTGACCTTGGTCAGAAGACAGTTGGCACACATATTTAGTAGATTAGTGCCCTTAGTTGTAGGAAGATGGTTTTGGTGGGGCTTTTAGTTAGATATTTTAGAACTGGCTCTTCCATAGTGGGAACAGTGATTACGAACTTTTTTAGTGTAAACAAAATGAACGGTATGCATATTTGGGTATCCAGTTATATATGCAGCACGTAAATAAATACTTACCGAGACTGACCTGAAAGTCTAGAAGAATTTTTATATATTATGTCATACAAGGTTTGTGACTGATTTTTATCTTGAGAGACAGACTGTATTTACTTTTATGTTCCTTGTTTTTGTAGGTTTTAAAATCAAAGATGGGAAAATCGGAGAAAATTGCCATTCCCCATGGCCAGCTTGTTCATGGTATACGCTTGTATGAGCAACCAAAGATGAACAGACAGAAAAGCAAATATAACTTGCCACTAACCAAGATCACCTCTGCAAAAAGGAATGAAAGTAACTTTTGGCAGAATTCTGTTGCATCTGATATAACTCAGAAACAAGAAAAAAAGCCTTTTAAAAATACTGAGAACATTAAAAATATGCATTTGAAGAAATCAGCGTTTCTAACTGAAGTGAGCCAAAAGGAAAATTATGCTGGAGCAAAGTTTAGTGATCCACCTTCACCTAGTGTTCTTCCAAAGCCTCCTAGTCACTGGATGGGAAGCACTGTTGAAAATTCCAACCAAAATAGGGAGCTGATGGCAGTACACTTAAAAACTCTCCTAAAAGTTCAAACTTAAGAGTTCAAATTTGAGTATGTATGTAAAACACCATTTTCCCAAAATCTCTGGATGCTTTAAAGGAAATTGGTACAAAAATGGAAATTTACCAAGTGCAAAAGATGAGTTTAAAAAATTACATACAGCTTGTATTATATTTTATATTTTGTAAATACTGTATACGATGTATTATGTGTATATTGTTCATACTTGAGAGGTACATTATAGTTTTGTTATGAAAGTATGTATTTTGCCCTGCCCAAATGGGTAGATGTTTTGTATATATAAAATGGAGAAATTTTAAGTGTGTGCTAAGGCACATGGAAGACCAATTTATTTGCACAAGGTACTGAGATTTTTTTCAAGAAACTATTATCTCAAGGTGAGGATCTAAATGTGAACAATTTACTAATGCACTACTGAAATTTTAAATCTGTGGCACAATCATTGTAAACATGGGGTTTGTCTGTTTCTCTAAATTGATTTTCTGCATTCTAATCTGTTATTACTGGAAAACTCCTGTTCCCATTTTTACCAAACTTTTATTTTTTTTTAATTTATCCATTATTCCAATTTAAGATAACTCTTTAATGCCAACAAAATCGGTTGTAATCAAATTTTAAAATAATAATAATTTGGCCCCCCCTTTTAAACTAGTCTTGACTTTTTGTGTATGACCTTTTTTCATATGAGTGTGTGATTGGGAGATGTTGTATGGTTGGATTTTTAACTTTCCACTTATTGTCTGTCCTTCCTCTATTATCTCATTAAATTAGAGGATCAGGTAACTTACTACCACCGCCACCTCCCAGGGCAGTAATTTCCCATTTCACAGTACAAATGACTGGATAAAAAGAGAGTTGTTTAATTTCTATATTAGAATATATTTGTATATCAACTGTTCTACAAAATACCATTTGACTTAACATACATTATCAGTGAAACACTTGTCTAGTAAATTTATATTTTAAGTTTGCTTACTTAAACCAAAGTAAGCAAACCAAACACATTGCTGTCAAATAAATTCCAGCTCATAGTAACTCTCCAGGACAGATTGGAAATGCCCCCTAGGGTTTCCAAGGCTGTAAATCGATGCAGAAGCAGACTGCCACATTTTTCTGCCATGGAGTGGCAGTTGAAACTACCAACCTTTGGTAGCCAAATCCTTTAAACACTCACCCACCAGGGCTCCTTTAAAGCAAACAGTTGCTAAAACAATAGATGGGAGGTTTTGGATTCTAAAGCTTGCTTGAAGATGGATATGGCAATTTTTTTACTTTAAGATTCAGACTTCATTATTCTAGCCAATGGGGGGTGTGTGTGTGTGTGTGTGTGTGTGTGTGTGTCTATCCCAACTCAGAAATTACCTGGTATAGTTGTTTTCTCCTTAAATTTTTTATTTATTGTGTTGAGACTATACAGAGCAAAAGCTATTTTAACAGTTTCTACATGCAGGTCAGTGACTGATAAACATTCTTGTGAGTTGTGCAGCCATTCTCTTCTGAGTTACTCCTCATTAACTCACTGCTCCCTAAGGTTCCTATGTAATCTTGAGTTGCTTTTGTCAATTTGATCCCATATAGTTTTTTAAAATTGTAATTTGCTTGAATGTTTACACAGCAAATTTTCCACTGAACAGTTTATATACACTTTGTTTCATGACATTGATTGCAATCTCTGTAATGTAACAGCTCTCTTCTGACTTCCTCCCTGTGGTTAACTTTCCCTGTGTGCTTTTCTATGCCTTCCTGCCCTCTGAGCTATGACCCTGTGCAAATGCTGCTCTTCTGCTGATTCCATAGAGGTCTTGAAAGAATATAATGCTAAAGGCAGAATTTTTTTCCCACTAGTTAAGCTAAACTGTTTAGTTTTAAGACTTAAGGGGTTATTTTTTATTTAAGATTTAAAAATTATCTTAGAGTTTCAGGAATCCATCTAGCTTCCATGGCTCCAGAAATCTGGAATCCAGAAGACTTTGAAATTCTGTTCTACATTTCCCCCCTTTTGATCAGTATTCTGTGGCATCTTTGATCACAATGTTAAGTAATGATAGCCAGATACCATCTAGTTCTGATCTCATGGCAAAAAGTCCCTGTGTAGTTTTTAATTAAAGCTAAGGTTTACTCAAGAATAGGTTTTGTTAGTAGTTGGGCATTACATAAAAAACAAAACCAAACTCATGCCATTGAGTTGGATCCGACCCATAGAGGCCCCTCCCTGGTTTTCTGAGGCAGTATCACTACAGAAGTAGATGTCCCAATCTTCCTTCCAAGGAGCGGCTGGTGGGTTTGAACCACCATCCTTCTGGTTAGTAGTCAAATGCTTTAGGCACTACACTACCAGAGCTCCTGGGCATTACATAGATAAAGAAAAAGGAAAAAGGTGTTAAGAGAGTATGTACATGGTTATCTTAAAATGGGATAGGTGGAAAAGGTATTACCATCTTCCTGAGTAAAAAAGATGATGTCTTAGTTTTCAAGAGCTGCCATAACAATATACTACAAAACGAATGGCTTTAAAGGAAAGAAATTAAGTTTTTTAGAGTTTTGGAAGCTAGAGGTTTAATGCGGGCATTGACCATGTCAGTTCTTTCTGAGGGCATTAAAGAGAGAAACTTCATGCTTCTCTTTTCTGGTAGCTTTTATGATTATAAATGTATCTGCCTCCGTGGACACATCACATCTTTCCTGTGAGTATTTCCATATTCTGCCCTTTTATAAACACTACTCAGGAATTAAGATTAGGATCCCTGACATCCTAGTATGACTTCATTTAACTGATAAAAACCATTTCACTGATAACAAAGGGAAAAGCAACTTTTCCAAGGATAGTGCATTCACAGGTTCAAGGGTTAGGACTTAAGTAGCATTTTTGGGAACACAGTTCATAACAAAAGGGTCTTAATTTTTTTTTTTTTAATTGTGATTTGGGTGAAGATTTACAGAGCAAATTCACTTTCCATATAGCAGTTTACATACACTTTGTTTCATGACATTGACCACAGTTTACCACAATGCAACAGCTCCCCTCCCACTTCCTCCCCATAGTTACCTCTTCCTAGTGTCCATCCCTCCATGGACTCCTG